AAAAAAAAAAAAAAAATAAAAAATAAATAAATGTGTCTGATTTAAATACAATAATTAAGAGAGAGAGATTGGCAGAATGGATTTAAAAACGGTACCAAACTATAAGAAACTCCAGCTATTTACTTCAATTATGATTATAGGCTACTTAAAAGGAGAAGGCTTGAGAAATATGTATAAACATTAATCAAAAGAAAATAGAAAATAGTTGGGTTTGGTGGTGCACACTGGGAGGCTGAGGCAGGGGGACCACAAGTTCGACCAAGATCTTGTGTCAAAATAAAAGCCAAAATGTTTAAAGGGTCGCAGGTATGGCTCAGCACAATGGCCCTAGGTTCAATCCTCAGTACTGCAAAGAAAAAAAGAACAGGTTATAAAGTCGATGAAATAGTCTTCAGAGCAAGTATTATCAAAGATAGAACATTATACAAGAATAAAAGGGTCAATCTACCAAGAACAGCAACCCAGAGCTGCAAAAATGTGAAATTGAAGACAGAATGAAAGGAGATTATAATTTAAGTCCATATTGCACTCGAACACGTCAATACTCAACTTTCAACAATGCGCAGAACTAGACAGAAATCCACAGGTCCACAGAATCCAACATCATCAGCTAAGAGGACCCAAGCAGCACTCAAAGCAGCCACCCAGTGGCAGCAGCAGCACAGAACAGGCCTGGACCGGCTGCTTCCCCGGCGTTATACAGCCCTCAAGAGCCCTCAGAGTAAGGCTCTGGGGGCGGAAATCACCCAAGGTGTGTTCTCCATCCACAGAGGAATCAAACTGGAAAGGAGCAAGAGAAAGATGACAGGAAAATCTCCAAACACATGCAAATTACATAGAACTAACTAAATGGGTCAGTGAAGTTTCCAGAGAAATCAATAAATACAATGAAATGCATTAAAATTAAACAATATGATGCATGTTTAAAAGTGCTAAAAAGGTAACTGAAATCACTAAAGATGCATATACAACAATGAGGAAACTTAGAAAGCTAAGCAAGCTTACATCTCAAATGCCCAGAAAAAAAGAGCAAAATAAAGCCAAAGAAAGCAGATAGGAGATAAAGACAGAAATCCGTAAAAATGAAAAGAAGTAGAGAAAAATCACTGACTTCTACTAAACTTTTTTTTTTTTTTTTTTTTTTTGGTTTTTCTCTGGTACCGGGAACCGAACTCATGACCTTGCGTTTGCCAGAAAGGCGCTTTGCCGCTGAGCTAAATCCCCAGCCCCTTCTACTAGACTATTAAGAATTAACATCAATCCTTTACAAACTCTTTTCATTATGAGGCCAGAATTATCTAGATTCTAAAACTAGACAGAAAGTCTCTCTCTCCCCCTCTCTCTCTCACACACATACACACACACACACACACACACACACACACACACAAAACTCAAGATCCATATCCCTTGTGAATATCCTCACAAAATCCTCATTAAACATCAGCAAGTCTGCTCTGGCAACTTGTGAAGGGTTATGCACCACGACGCACATGCAGCGAAAGCTCATCCTGCCCAGCCTGTGGCTCCTGGAGGTCACCTCCAAGTCCTTGAGCTGCTATCCTCAGTATAGCTCAGCCTATGCTGAGTGGAGAATCAGGCCAGCTACCAGGTGGCCAACCAGGCCTACCTGGCTGAGCTCCAGTAAAAACTCAGGGCAGCACACTGAGGGGTCTGCCTGGCATGCACTGTCATGCATCACACCGTGCGCCCAATCCCACTGGGAGAGGACGATGGTGCACACTCAGCTCTCCCAGCCTGCATCGCGAACCTCTCCTCTACTACCCACGCCACAGCCCTCTCTGGGGTGATCCTTCACTGTGACTGGAACAGCTTTCAGTGAGCTGAGTCCCTCCAGCACATCACTGTACTGGAGGATATTCTGGGGGATAACGAAACTTTGCAGTGACCACATAGGATTTATCCCAGGAGCCTAAGTTTGGTTCCACACATGAAGATGAATGTAATATACCATATTAACGGAATAAAGGACAAAGGCTGTATGTGCACCTCAGTGGATGTACAGATGCTCTTAACAAAATCCAAACCCTTTGGTGATAAAACACTGACTAGGAAAAGAAGGGACCTTCCCCAAACTGATGGTAAGCATTTACAACAAACCTATAGCTACGCTAAGCATGATAGCACATGCCTGTAATCCGAGAACCATGGGAGGCTGAAGCAGGAAGATCACAAGTTCAAAGGGTATATAGCTCAATGAGAAGGCTCTGGGGTCAATCGCAAGTACCCAGACAGGGAGGCACCACTCACATCATATGTAATGGAGGAAGACTAAAAACTTTCCTCTAGGATCGGGAACAAAGGAACAGTATCTGCTCCTGCAGTTCTGTTAAATACTGTACTGGAAGTACCAGCAATAACAGTAGACAAGAAAATGAAGTAAAGGACATTCAGACTGCACAGGAAGAGGTAAAACTTTGCTATTTCCACATGATGTGATCTCACATACAAAAATATCCCGCAACATCCACCAGAAATATCTATTAGAGCTAATACACAAAGTTAGGATGGTTGCAAGACACAAAATTGACTTGCAAAAACCAACTGTATTTCTATACAATCTGAAAAGGAAAATAAGAACACTATTCTATTTCTGATAGCATCCAAAAAAGTAAAATACTTAAGAACATATTTAACCAAAGAATTACAAAGCTTACACTGAGAACTACAAAACACTGTTGAGCAAAATCAGAGAAGATCTAAGTGGATGAGAGGCACCCTGTGTGGGCAGACTGAGACCTAATACTGTGGAAACGGTGATCCTCTCTGCCGGATGCTGGTGAAAGCTATCCTGGAGGCACCGTGTCGGGAGCATCCGGAGCAGCAGGATGAGTACAGCAGATGGGCTTCCCTGCAGGTGGGCCTGGCCTGTCTAACAAAGGCCTGACAAGACCAAGGGCTGATGTGTGACAGACTCATCCTTAGCACCTGACCGCCAGAGCTGCCACACCATCTGCCTAAGGCCCAGACCTGGACCAGATCTAGCCCCATTCTCGCCCGGGTCTTCAGCTTGCCACCTGCAGACCCTAGGACTTCCTAGTCTCCCATCAAGGGAGCCTAGTCCTTAACATCATCTCTGCTCTCCTTTTCCCTCTACAGACACAAGCATGCACGAACACACAACACACACAGAGGCACTTGCACATCTCCCACAGGTACTATGTGTCTGGAAAACCCTGACTAACACACTCTTTAAATTGATCTTCATATGCAACACAATCCCTATGAAAACACAGAGATTAACAAGCTTACCCTAAAATTTATATGAAAAGGGATCTAGAATAGTCAAAGCAATCTTGAGAAAGAAGAAAAAAACCAGAGGAGAGCTTCTGGTTTCAAAGCTTCCCATAAAGACACAGTAATCAAAATAAAGTAATATGGTCAAAAGATGGACAAACCAATCAATCGGATTCAGAGCCCAGAAATAAAAGCTCGTGCAGCAGTGAAACAGTTTCCAGCGAGGGTCCCAGAACCACACAATAGCAAACAATCTGTTCAACGAGTGGAGCTGGGTAGGCTTGATTTCCTCATGTACTTAAGTTAGACCTGACAGACTTCTGGGAAGATGGTGGAGGCTCCCGGCTCGGGTGTGAGAGGAAGATTGAAATCTAGGGACATGGTGAAATCAGGTCACTCCAGAGGTCTGAGAGAAACGCACCAGTGGAACGGATCAGTGGATGCTGTGCACTACAGCAGCTGTGAGTGGCTGCAGTACAAGTGACCGCCTTGTCTCCTGGCTTGGCTGGATGCCACTGTAGAGGGGTCAAATGAACCCAGAATTCAGAGCAGCTTCCATCTCAGGGATCCTGGTGTTAAAACCCCATAGTGACTAGGTGAAGGACAGCCACAGTAGACATCCAGGGTAGGCAGCAGTAGTCAGGTGGACAAAGACACCCCAGAAGGTTATAAGCTAAATGACTCAGGCCCCAAACCCACACCAGAGGCCAGGATCAGCCTGAACCTCTATGGATTTGAAAGTCCCACAACTAGCACCACATCCTAATCCTGTTAGAGGCTGCTGGGATCATCCAGAATGGATCTGGGCTCTGACCAACTTCACCTCTGTCTACAGAGAAAGCAGAGTCACACCCTGAATTAGACACTGCCATCAAACTATAGGCCCCAGAAGATAACCCCTGGCTTCAAACTGCAGAGATATTTCTTTTTTTCCTCATTGCTTGTGGGCCTTTTTTCAGTTGTTGTTTATTTCTGTTTGGTTTGGTTGTGAATGTGAACACTGTTTTCAGTTTTTTTATTTTGTTCTTATGTTTCTTCTTTCTTTCCCTTTTGTTTTCCCAAGGCTTGGGTAATCTTCCCTTGTCCTTGGCTTTGCTTCTAAACTCTTTAGCTTCTTGTACTTCTCCATTTTTTCCTTTTATCCCTTTTATATTTTCTTGCCTTAAGGTAAAATGGCTCTACTGAGAGGTTATTTACTGTGTATGGTTTTCCAACTTGTCTTAGGTTTTGTTATATAATTATAAATCTTGTACCTATGGTTAAAGGTAACAAATTAACAGTTACCACAGTTTGTCATTTTCCAGTCTGTGCTTGATACCACTGCTATTGGTCATTGTACTACTCCAAGGAGACATAGTTGTGATCAGTTGACCTTCCTTGTATGCCAATACCTAGATTATCTGCGGGTCATGCAACAATACTATAGCCCAGTACCACAGAACTGGGTGCTAGGCCAAACAGGTAGTAACCTTTCATTTCTAATAAAATGAAGAGGCAGAATCCTATTATTTGTTTGCTTTTTGTTTTTTAAATTCTTTTTTCTTTTTTAAAAAAGAAAAGTTACCTTTCTTGTTTATTTTTAATTTTTCTTAATATTTTACAAAAGTAAAAAAAATTTTTTTTTGAGACAGGGTCTCACTAAGTAGTTCGGGATGGCCTCAAGCTGGTGGTAATCCTCTTGAATCAGCCTCCCAAGTGCTGGGATTACACTCGCCACCATGCCCGGCACAGAGGCAGAATCCTGAAACAGACTCAAAAGCCAAAAGACATCTCTAAAAAGTAGTCATTTCCTAAAGAGTTCTTGATACTAGTAATAAAGCTACCTACCATAAGCAACTTACAAGCCTCAATGGAGAAAACAAATAAACAACAACCAAAAACTGAGAAAACACATAACCCCTAACTTACCCAAGGTAAATCAAGGGGGCAGTGAGGTGGAGGAAATCAAAAGCCACCCAGAAGAATTTTATGAAATGGTAACAGCAGAGCTAACAAAAAAGATCAATAAGTATCTCGACAAAAACAAAACAGAGGTGATTAAAGAGATGACAACCATAATGAAAGAAGTGATTAGTAAATCTAGAGTAGATACAGACAAAAAAGTAGAGGAGCTTAGCAAAGACATGGAAGTCGTGAATGCCCAACACAGAAAAGAACTAGATTCCATCACACAGACTCAAATGAGACCCAGAAGACTGGGGTGATAGAAAGCTGCTGCAGTTAGGTCATGGCAGTGGTCACACAACTTGTGAAGGTGCCAGAGCCTCTCAACTGCACTCATTAAAAGGCTGAATTATGCAGTGTGCGAACTACGTCTCATAAAAGAAGAATCTAGGAATATGTCTTATGCAGAAGAACGATGCCAGTGGCCACTGCCCCACCTGCTCGTAGATCTCGATGGCTTTCTGGTACTGCTCCAGCTGCGCGGCATAGGCGGCCACCTTCAGCAGACACTTGTTGGCAGAGCTGGAACCAGGCAGAGCAGACAAGTAAGCACCACAGGAAACAGCAGTGTGCACACGAGGGCCCAGCCTCCTTTCACTCAATGCAAAGACCCCCTATATAAAAATGATCTTTTATCATATATACAAAACCCACCACCTAATATTAAGAAAATAATACTCGCCTGTTAGATTCTTCTCCCTTGTAATAATCAGCAGACTGTTCATAATGTGCAATAGCCTAAAAAATACATACATTTTACTCTCAATCCATTTGAAGAGCTGCATTTAAAAATTATCTGTTTGTATAGTTACTTTTCTATAGATCAACCTGTGCCTGCAGTATGCCTTTCACAACTTGGCCTGTTTTATTTAGGAGATGTATCCAGAAGCCTCTTTGTGGCAGAACACTTGCTATCCACCAAAATCTTCCCCCTTCCCTCCGGGGCCAACACCCAGCACACACCTCTCCAGCCTCCCTCCAGGAAAGGTGGGCAAGTTCTCTCCAACGGACCAGAACGAGGAAGCCAGGGCTGCTTCCAGGCTGCGGCTATGCACCTTATTGCACCTTCTCCAGGCCTCTTCTATGTCCCATAAGCTAGAATAGCAACCACCACATCTAGAGGGACACTACAGGTCACAGGCTAAAGATGCCAGAACTCTGCCAGCCTGCTTCCTAAATAACCCCGAAGGGCAGAATGTATCCCAACCCCCATCGAACTCATAGCAGCTGTGCTGGATTGTTACTTTAGCACAATATGGAGTCCTAGGACATGGTAAGCCTGTAACTTACTCTAGCAGCCAAACTACGCTCAGCAACACTGTAAGCACCACATGGAGGAAGAGCGCTGCCTGCACTGGAATGTTTTGACACCCAACTACCACTTAAGCAGAGAAGAGCTGGGCTGAAGCCTGGACAGTCTAAGCCTTTGCCTTGGAGTGGCAGAAGAGTGAATGAAATCAGGAGGTAGAACGGTGTCCACCAGAACCGGAAACTACACGAAGCTGCTGTTTACAGGGGATGCTGGGTTACAGGCAGTTAGGAAAGGTGACAGGCCATGTTCTGGGATAAGGGCCTCATGACATTGAAGAAGCTGAGGCTTCTGCCCCGACATGGCGAGAGTTAGGTCTACACAAGGCTTTAAGCCAGGGATCTGACGAAGCTTTTCTGTAACAAGTCAATTGTCTTGGGTTTTGTGAGCCACCCAGTATCTGCTGCAGCTCTACCATGGTAGTGTGACCATGCACAAGATGCACCTGTGGCTGTGTTCTCATGAAACTTTATCCATGCACAGTGCAGTCTCAACTGACTTACTTTAACGTACCACAAGTGCTTTCCTCTCCCCAGTGACTTAAGGATGTAAAAGCCATTCTTAGCTTGTGGACTTACAGAAACAGTGGTGGGTTTGCAGGCCCCTGGCTTGTGCACATGGCTTCCTGCTAAGCCCCAGAGGGAGCTGGCAGTGTGTGAAAATGAGGTTCAGGTGCTGCCTTCCACAGGAAGCCCAATCACCTCAGTGGTTCAGGGCAGCCCTTAGTGTGCTAAGAGTTGGGTGCAGGAACGAAAGCCAACGAAGGTAACAGGTGGGGAACCGTGGTAGACCACTTCTGCCTTGGTCACCGGCACAGGGAACTCCCTGGGGGCATACCTGGCCCACAAAGCCCATGGCCTCCCCTTCCTGCAGGTGGCAGTGGTGCTGACTACGGAGCAGGGCCACCTCTGAAGCCATTTGGTGAGGCTGGGGGGCCAACAGTGCCCCAGCCTTAGAAATGCAGCACACCCTACCTAGGACATCAGGCTGGCACAGTTTCATAAAAAGCAGATACTCTAGGCTGGGGACATAGCTCGGTGGTAAGACGCTTGGCCCTGCATGTACAGTACCCTGGGCTGGAGCCCCAGCGCTAGAAAAAAAACAAAAGCAGACATCCCTTTGAATGATTATATTTGCACTTATGGTTTCAGCCACTTAGCCTAACTGATAGGCCTCGGAAAGAAATGTTTTCTCAGCATTATGTATAACAGGGAAAAAACAAGACAACTTCAGTGGTTATACACACTGGACTACAGGGCTATGATTTAAAGGCAACGGGCAGAATGTATGAAGATGAGACATTCTTCCTGAAATATTAACTTTAAAAACAAGCCAAGCATGGTGATGCACGACTGTAATCCCAGCACTCTGGAAGGCTGAGGATCACAAGGTTGAGTCCAGCCAGCTAACTTAGTAAGACCTGATCTCAAACTAAAAAAATTTTTAAAAAAGAGTTGGAGCTATAGTTCACTGCAAAGGTCTTGAGTTTAATCCCCAGTACCTCAAAAAACAAGGACCCCATAACCATAAAGGAAGAGGTACACTATAATCCAGTCACATACTGAAGTGTCAGAAAAAGATTCCTTTGGAACATTTCTCAGAGCTGGAAGCTGGTGTGGGGTCATGTGACCAGTGAGTAACCCCCTCCCATGGGACTGTGGGCTGGAGGCAAGCCCCAGGAGGGCTGTGCACCTTACCTGCCAAGCCTAGCACCACGCCCAGCACATGACAGGTGCTCAAGAAACAGATGGTAAGTGAACACAGGCAGCGGGCAGCGTGAGTGAGGGCCCCCACTCGACTCCTGCCCACACTTTAATCTTCAGTGAGTTTATGCTTCATCAAAAGCCTGTGGGACTGCAGTGTTGCTCAGTGGTACAGTGTATGCCTGGCACGCACAGGACATGGGTTCAGTCTCCTGTAGCCCTCCCCAAAACCTGTGAACTGTCTGAATTCTCTCAAGTGCTCAGCACTGTTTCCCACTGTAATAACAGGGCTACGACATGAAAAGCAAGACCAAATTTTCTAGAGATCAGAGAATGTCCCCTCTGCCTGGGCAGAGGGAGTGGCTATCTTCTTTCTAGTTCTTACCAGTTACCAATGAACAGGGCACCCGTCAAGCCACAGAAAATTGTTGTTGGGTTTCTTTTTGTCTTTTGGAGGGGAGATGGCCAAAAATTGACAACACAGTTTAATTTAGTATTTATTAAGGTCTGGTGCTGGGTCAGCAAACTCTAGTTGGGAAAACTTTCAGTTTGGTTTTTAATAACTCTCATTAAACCAATCCTCCAACTCCACTTTTCTCCCAAGATGTGACCGAGACCAGACCAGTAGGGTCAGAGCACACAGAGTGGCTGTGTGTCATTCCACGGCACGCACACTGAGTGCAGGATTGCACCTCGTGACAGCAGGCACAGCACAACACATCTGAAGTCGGCTCCCACTGTGGAGGACACTGGAGGAGATGGCCTCGCGGGCTTTAAATGGAACCAGTGTTCTAAAACTAACACCCTGGGACTGGCCCCACCACGAGCCTGCTGCACACTGTCCTTGCACTGTACCCAAGCATAAGGGATCAGGTCCTGTGGGGTCTGAAAGCAGAATGAGCCTCGAAGAGGACCTGCCCACTGTGGGGGTCAGGGTTTCCATTGGAGGTTAAGGGAAGCAGCTGAGTTTAGGCAACAGTGCAGCTCACTGTGCAATTGCTACCATGTGGGAGTGATCAGAGAACGTCACTGGGGAGCACTAAAGGGAGACTTTAATTTGTAGCGAACACCTAAATACAGGTCCTTGGCTTCGCACATCACTGACCACAGCCCTGTGAGTCAAACCCGGACAGAGAAGGCAGAAGGCAGAAGCCCAGACATGGGCACCTCAGTAAACCCGCCCTATCCCACCAGTTTATAAAGGAAAGTGCTCACAGGAAAAGACAGGCGCCATCTACTGGCTGGCGGTTCCCAGAATGGCCCGCACACCCGAGGAAAGGGCCTTTAGAAGCAGTGTCCATTTTGTTAAAAGGGAGAAAAATGTGCCAAATGAAATGCTTTCATTCATCCACCCCAATTGTATGGAGACCCATGTGGTGAAGCACCTATCCGGGATCACGCCCAGTACAGAGAGAGCACAAGACCATGGCTCCTGCCCCACAGCGCTGCTCTGAAAGCCAAGCCAAGAAGATGCTGCACAGTGCTGGCCCTGGCTACTCACTCCACCTCGGGAAGATGACATGCCCAGCCCAGACCCCTGATCCAGCAAAGGCTCTGCTCCCTCCTGCACAGCGCTCAACCCTCATGGGAACAGCCATAGGCTCTCAGGACCCACCAGCAGCCTTGTAGATAGAAGCTCACACAGCACGATGAGGTGAAGGGCAGCCCTGGTTTATCAGGATCTCAGCTTCCCTGAAGCACAGCAATTATTGAGGGGGCAAGAATCAACCTTACACAGCAAGTGTGAGCACACAGTGTGGTCGCTGAAAGGCAGTGAACTCAGAGCCTCGATGCTGCTCAGAGGCTCCTGTGCCACCTGCTGGGTTGGGGATGGGGTGGGCACTTGCCCGGCACAGGCTCACGGGGCCTTCTATCAGGGCAGAGCTGCATGCCACAGGGACCACCTGAGGTGCAGAGCAGTCGAGTGGAAGAAGGAACAAGCGCAGGCACAATACGTGCAAGTGCAAGGAGACACATGTGCTGCCGAGCAAGAGGAAAAGCTCAGCGAGGCAGGAGGGCGGCTCCTGAGGGGCCACAGTGAGGGTATGAACTAAGGGGCCATGATGGGCCTCAAGGAAAAGACGATGGGCAGCTGAGACTGAAGGGCATCGGGAGTCTGCATGTGGGCGTGAGGAGCTGAGCACCAACATCTGAAGAAGAGCTCTGCAGGCGGGGGCTGTCCTGGCAAGAGTTCACCTGGCACGTGTAAGGGGTGAGCGAAACAAGGGGCCCGGTGCACAAGGCGCAGGGGAGGAGGGAGAGGCAACTAAGCTGGTGGGGTATGGCGGCCAGGTACAAGGCCACTGCTCCTCCGGGGTAGGGGGCCCTCAATGTCCCTGCTGCAAGCTGGAGGCTCGTGGGGAAGGTAGGGGTCCACCAGGCTCTGTTCCACTTGGACTCTACTATGCCAGCCAGTGGGGAGAAGAGTGGGTCCTGGACACCTTGTCTACCCATTGTGCACTGAGGCCATTGGCAGCTGTGTCCAGCGCTTACCTTCTCAATGTCCACCAGCTCAGTCTCGTAGATCTCGGCGATGGTGATGTGGTGCTTGGCTGCAATCGTAAACCTTCCCTAGGGGGAGAAGACCAGAGTCACACACCAGCCTCACCTACGTGAATGCCACTCGGTTTGGGAACAGAACAAAAATCCAACTCTCAGCCATCTCAGGGCCTCCACCCCACAGCCATCAAGCAAGGCAACATCTTACCATGTCTGTGTAAATGTCGATGGCTGCATTTAAGCAGTTGATAGCCTCTGAAGCGTAGGCATTTAAGAAAAACAATGAAAAATCCATTCAGTCACAGAGGATTCAGGTGAGCCTGTCTTCCTGGCTGTCATCGGAGTGGCAATGAAGTACAATCAGGGGCACGGGGTGGGCAGTTACAGCGGCGCAAACACAAGTCATGCACAGGTCCAGCAGCGATAGCGTAACTGAGCGAGGGGGCTGTAGTGCTAGTGGCTCAGTTATTCAGAACCTTGAAGTGAGGACTCTACCCAGGTGACAGACTGGAGACTGTCACCCCCACTGACAAATTATATCTGCTAACATGTGCGAGTAAACTCTTCCTGTCTAGGGTCTTCCTTTGTGCAGCAAAAACCCAATGTGCTCTGAAATGCCTGTTCAAACCACAGTTCAGTGAAGCTCAGCACTGTACGGAAGGTGCTGACTTCCAGCGCACTAACACAGCCATACAAGAAGGAAAAAGGCTACTGGGTGGTAATGATGATTTTCTAAAGCTGAACGTTTCGCCTGTCATGAAATGGAGGTATTCACACTGCTGCCACCTGGCTGACAGCTCCAAGCTAATAAGCACTTTGGGCTTGAAAGAGGCAGCAACACAGAAAAGCCGGATTCCAGAATTAGAAACGTAAGCAGAATGACAAAAATTAAAAGCAGTTTTTCCAGTAACTATATAAACTTGTGGATTCACTGTTAAACTATAAAAGCTACAGAACAAAGAGTTAACCTCCAGCCGCACACACCCCTCCCCAGCATCAGCACTCGGGTGGGCTTCCTCCTGTCTCCTCAAGCTGAGGTCTCCCGTGGTTCTTTAATTACAGCGCTAACATGCACAGGCTAAGGAAGTCTGAAACCAGGATCTTCACAACGCATTATACTGTACTCCAGGTTCACCCCCGACTCCCAGAGCTCGTGCAGGCTATCCCCTGTCTGTGCTGAGCTGTGACCCATCTTTATACAAAGCCTTAGAGATACCTTACTTCTTTACGGCCTGTGCATAAAAGCTGGGATTTGTGTGTTAAACAAAATGAAGGACTCAAAGGAAAAAGGGAGATTTGATGGGATCCATGCACGCGTGGGAAGGAAGAGAATTGCTAAGTATGCTTTTCCAACCAAAAAAAAAACATTTGCAAAATTTCACCACTTTAAATATCTGATTTCATTCTTTCCTCAAAATAAAAATTTCGAAATACATTGAAAAACAAAACAAATGAACACTACGTGACTAAGCGATGTTTTTCACCACTGGATACAGCCATCTCCCACCAAATGGATCTTAAAACTCACTGGCTATTTAGGAAAAGGGAAACGGCAAAATTTCCTTATCTGATGCAAATCATATTTTGTACAAATGAGATATAAGAACTCTTAGATAAAATTAATGGTAATTTCCAAGAGTCTCCAAAATGCAACCAAAGTGGAGTTTAAGAAAATGGTGTTGATCACTACACAGCCAAGATAAATTTAAAGTATTTTCTCTACATACAGGCTCGCAAAGGATTAAAGAATAAAACTTTCTCAAATTACCACATTCCTCTAGTGTTTTAAGACTCGGAAGGACACGACACCAGCCCTGAAGCTGAAGCAAACTGGCTGACAGTCCCACAGAGCCCAGCAGCTGCCTTACCTTGAGGGTCAGCCTTCTTGTACGCGTTCCCTGCATCCACAAAGCTGGTGGCAGAGTCGTGCTTGCTCTGAAGCTGCATGTGGAGCTTGGCGGCCTGACAAAAGGCATTTCCTGCAGCTGAAGAAGACAACACCACAATGAAACACAGAGGAACAAGGCTCTCGGCACCACAGTCCAGGCTGTAAGTGCTGGGCCTCCTGGAAAGCCGCATCCCAGTCCAAGCACTGTTCAGCACGTCCATTGTGTTTGGTTTTTATAAAAGCCAGAATCAGCACCAGGTGTGGTGGCACACACCTGTAATCCCAACATTCGGGAGGCTAAGGAAGGAGGATCAGGAGTTTGAGACTAGCTTGGACTATATAGGGAGACCATGTCCCAAAAAAACAGAACAGATCTAAAACATTTTTAATCATAAACCAGTACCCAATGCTAAGTCTAACCATCTGCCCTATTTATTGATTGACTGATTGATTGATCGTCTTTTTGATTGTTTTTTTTTTTTTTTTTTT